GATCCCTCTGCAGAGACTTCCTGCCCTCGAGCAGATCGACACTCCCACTTAATATCATGTCATCTGCAAACTTAATGAAGGTGCACTAAATCCCCGCGTCTAGGTCATTGATAAAGATATTAAACAAGACCAGCCCCAAAACAGCCCTTTGGAATACCGCTTTTGACCAGTCGCCAACGCTGCCAGCTGGATTGAACTCCATTCACCACAACTCTCTGCGCTTGGCCATCCAGCCAGTTTTTATCCAGCAAAGAGTAAACCTGTCCAAGCCATGAGCAGCCAGTTTCTCTAGAAGAACGGTGTGGGAAACAGTGTCAAAAGCTTTACTAAAGTCCAGGTAAACAACATCCACTGCCTTTCCCTCATTCACGAAGTGGGTCACCTTGTCATAAAATGAGATGAGGTTAGTCAAATCCATGCTGACTAGGCCTGATCACCTGGTTGCCCTGTATGTGCCATGTGATGGCACTCAAGATGATCTGCTCCATAACCTTCCCCAGCACTGTGGTCAGACTGAGAGGCCTGTAGTTCTCCGGATCCTCCTTCCAGCTCTTCTTGCAGGTGGGCATCATATTGGCAAGTCTCCAGTTGTCTGGGACCTCTCCCATTAACCAGGATTGCTGATAGATGATGGAGAGTGGCTTGGCAAGTTCCTCTGCCAACTCCCTCAATATTCTCAGGCAGATCTCATCTGGCCCCATAGACTTGTGAGTGTCCAATTGACATAGCAGGTCATTAACTACTACTTCCTGGGTTATGAGGGAATCCTTCTGGTCTCCATCCCTGTCCTCCAGTTCAGGGGGCTGATTACTTTGACGATAACTAGTCTGACTATTAAAGACTGAGGCAAAAAAGGCATTAAGTACCTCAGCCTTTTCCTCATCCTGGATGACAATGTTCCCGCCAACATCCAATAATGTATGGATTCTCCCTGCCTCTTTGTTTTGTTGCTAATGTATTTGTAAAAACACTTTTTATTATCTCTTGCAACAGTGGCCAGACTGAGTTCTAGCTGAGCTTTGGCCTTCCTAATGTTCGTTTTGCATGACCTAACTAAATCCGTGTACTCTTCTTCAGTAGCCTGCCCCTTCTCCCAAAGGTGGTAGACCTTTCTCTTTCTCCTAAGTCTCAGCAAAAGCTCCCTGTTCAGCCAGGCCATCGTTTTCCCCACCAGTTCGTCTTATGGCACATGAGGACAGCCTGTTCCTGTGCCTTTAAGACTTCCTTTTTTGAAAAATATCTGGCCTTCCTGGACCCCTTTGCCCTTTAGGACTGACTCCCAAGGGACTTTCTCAACCAGTGTCCTGAACAATTCAAAGTCTGCCTTTTGGAAGTCCATGATAGTGGTTTTGCTGTCACTCCTCCTTACTTTGCCAAAAATTGAAAACTTTACCATTTCATGGTCACTAAGCCCAAGACAGCCTCCAACCACCACATCACCCACCAGTCCTTCTCTGTTAGTAAACAGGAGGTCTAGTGAGGCATCTCCCCTGGTGGGCTCACTCACCAGCTGTGTCAGGAAGTTATCTTCCACACACTCCAGGAACCTCCTGGATTGCTGCTTCTCTGCTGTGTTGTGTTTCCAGCAGATGTCTGGTAAGTTGAAGGCCCCCACGAGAACAAGGGCTGGTGATTTCGAGGCTTCTGCCAGCTGTCTGAAGAACACTTCATCAGCCTCTTCATCGTGGTTGGGTGGTCTATAACAGACTCCCAACAGGATGTCTGCCTCGCTGGCCTTCCTCCTCATCCTTACCCATAAACATTCGACCACTCCATCACAATTGTTGAGTTCTACGCAGTCAAAACACTCTCTAACGTAGAGAGCCACACCACCGCCTTTTCTATCTTGCCTGTTCCTTTTGAAGAGCTTATAGCCATCCATTGCAGCACACCAGTCATGTGAGTCATCCCACCATGTTTCTGTGATGGCAACTATGTCACATCTGTTGTGCTGCACAATGGCTTCCAGCTCCTCCTATTTGTTGCCCATGCTGTGTGCTTTAGGGTAGATGCACTTGAGCCGGGCTAACAATTTCACTCCCAACAATGGTTTGCCACCCTTAGGCTCAACTCTAGTAAGCCTGGTTTTATCCCCTTCCCCCTTCAGACCTAGTTTAAGGCCCTTTCAGTGAATCCAGCCAGTTCATATGCAAGGGTCCTTTTTCCCCTTTGAGACAGACAAACTCCATCTGTTGCCAGCAGACCGTGTGTAGTGTAAACTTCCCCATGATCAAAAAACTCCAAATTCTGCCGGTGGCACCAGCCCTAAGCCACATGTTAATTGGGTGAGTTCTCCTCCTTCTTTCAGAATTCTTCCCCATCACTGGAGCGATTGAGGAGAACACTACCTGTGCTCCTGAGCCATCAAGCGATCTCCCCAGTGCCCTGAAGTCCTTTTTAATTGCTTCAGACTTCTCTCTCATCGCTACTAGCCTGGCTAACCAACAGTGGGTAGCAGTCGTTCACGGATTGAGGCTGGACTGGCCACTAACAAATGACAGACGCTCTCTATTAACCCCTCTCCCACTCCCAAAAGGGAAAAGGAGAGAGAACAAGAGAAAGAGACTTTAAAGTTTGGAAAAGAAAACTAAAACAGCTTTAATGAAACAATAACAATAAGAGAAAAGATAATATTAAGAATAAGGGAATAATGAAATATATACAATATGTACAAATATATACAAAACCAATACCGAACCCAACTCCTCCCACCCTGATGACGATACGTCACCACCACACTGCAGGGCTGGCACTGGGGCAGTCCCAGGCTGGACTTGGTGGCAGACAGGGACGGGACGCAGGAGCTCGACTCAGACACTGGATTCAGGGATGCACCGGTTGGGGTCGACAACAGAAGAACAGACAGAGTCCTCCTCAGATGTCGGCCATCGAAGAAGAGAGAGAGACCCTCATGATCCCTCAGCTTTATACTGAATATGACGTATATGAGATGGAATACTCTGTTGGTCAGGTTTGGGTCACCTGTCTGGTTCGTTCCTCCCTGCAGGTGCGACCTTTTATGGGCTTGCGACCCTTTTCACTCCCGGCACCCCAACATGGAGTGCGAGATTTAGCAGTGACATTGGTCGCTATAAGAACAAGTATAACCAAGGGCGTCTCTGCACACCGTTCCTTGGTACGAACTATAAACACCACTCCTTATCACTGCTAGAAGCAGTCACTGTCTGGAAAAATATGCTGCTGTTTCAGAAAGTGCCGTTAGTTAGAGGAGACTTGACTGAAAAGTTAAAGCACTAAAACAGGATTAGTTCTGGTTTAGCCCAAACCAGGACACAGTCTGATGGCTGTACCAGACCGGAGAGTTCCCTAGCAATATCTCTAACTCAGGCTCCAGGGAGGCAGCAGACTTCTCTGCGGTGTGGATCTGATCGGCATGTGGGGCCTTCTGTTCCCCTCAGAAGAGAATCACCTCCTACAATCACTCTCCTTTTCTTCTTATGTGAAGCAGTCCTGATGTGTGGGGGTGACCAACTCACCTTGGGCGACTCCTTTGATGGCCCTTCATCTCCATTCTCATTCTCCTGGCCCTCTATTTCCAAAGCCCCATACCTGTTGCGCAATGGCAACTGGGGAGGCGTGGAAGGCCGGGAGGATTCACCTGCCTTTCCAAGGAGGGACCTGTTTCCATTATCCCCTTTCTCTTAGGTCCCCTCCTTGTACCTGGTGGCAGGAGGAGAGGGGATCCTTTGCTTCTTGTGGAGCCTCTGCCTGCTGCCTTTGCCTCAGGGATGGAAGGGTCTGACTCCACCAACCTATCTCCCTCTCACACTCCCTTTCAGCCCTCAGCCTTTCGACTTCCTCCTTCAGCTCAGCCACCAGGCTGAACAGTTCATTCACCTGGCTGCATCGAACACAGGTGTTGCCACTGTCACCCTCTGTTACAAGTGCCAGGCTCCGCCGCTCTCTGCAGCCAGAGACCTGGACAACCTGCATGTTTTCATGGGACCTCTGTCTGGGTCACCACACTTGTTCTCCCAGCAGCCTTCGCCCGGTTTGCCACCATAGCTGGTTCTGCCCTCAGGACCAACTGCTCAGACTGCTGGGCCATGCCCAGAAGATGTGCCACGCCCTCTTTGCTCGACTTTGCTTGGTGTGCAGGGACCTTAGGATGAGCACCCTTGGCCTGTCAAGGTCAATTGTTCCATGGATGCCTGCTAGTTTCAGAGCTGATTCCCAATCTCCTTAGGGAGTGTGAAGTCTGAGAAGTGGCAATAGGACACCAGCAAGATGGGTGTGCTGGAGGTGGCTAGGAATGGCAGTATAATATGTATAAAAGGGCAAGCTTCAGTCTGAAATGAGAACCTTTCAAAGTCAAAGAAAATGGAAGTGTAACTGTCGCTTTGTGGCAATAGCTTATCTTCTGTTGCAGAGGACAATGGATGAATAGGCATGATTTGAGTGTCATATCCATGGCAACGGTTTATTGTAATTTATGCCATCGAAGGTTACCTGTCTGTGAATAACATGAGGCATTTTCCTGTTCTTATGAGAACTGAAATACCCTAGCAACATTGCAGCCTTTTTATCTTTATTAATTACCGAAGACATATATAATTGGGAGCTTAAAAACTCTGTTTCAGACAGCACGAGACTTTTGGTCTTCTCAGGGCTGTCAACATAAAAAGCATGTGCCACAAAACCTCTAACAGAAAATCCAAATTCGCGTTGTGAATGTTGATGTGAAAATCCATGTAATGTCAGATGTAAAGCTGCAGATCAAATGGGGGTACTGACACAATCCAGTTTCTTTTGTTAATATTATATAACGTAAGTTTGTTCTGTTTAATAATCAGGCCTCTGTCTCTACACTTGCACTGCATAAATCAGAGTTAAAGGATTTTTACATTCGTCTGCAAGGAGAAATGAAATTTTTGTTTTTCCATCAGCCATTCTCATTATTTCTCTTGTTCTCATAAAGTGGGATTTTCACTGAGAGATGGGTGCTAATTGTTAGAATACAGCATCTTGAAAGATACAGCTTTTCCTTTAGATTGAAGATGGGTGAGCAAGGTCTGATGTGGAAAAGCCTTTAGCTGCTCTTCTGGTGTTTCTGTACACAAGCAAGGTATTCTTGCACATCATCTGGAGAACCGAGGATAAAAGGTACTCTCTGGTGAATACTCTCAGGTTTCACATCCAACACTGCCTCAGTCCCTGTAGTTGCCATCCCACCTGCCTGCTCAATGATGAAAGCCATAGGGTTGCACTCGTAGAGAAGCCGGAGCTAGAAAGAAAGAGGGAACATGTGATTGCCTTTGGGGGAAATTACTTACCAGAATCTAACCTTCCTTCTGTGATTTTGGAAGACTTTGTGTTAACATCAATTGATCTAAGTAGCAATGTCTCTCAATCAGCCCCTTCTTCTTTCCTCTCCTCCTCTTACCTCCCTTAACACCTTCTGTTTCGAGAACGAGTGTATTGGCCCTGCATCCAAGCGTCACCACCATCATTTCCAAGCTGACGGACTGATGTGCAGCTCCAGTGAAGCTGTACTTTGTCAAAAACGTCAAAAGTAGCTGTCAGGCCCACAGACATCAGCAAAACTGTTAAGCCAGCTAAGTTAACAGTACCGGGAAAGAAAAGCCAAAATCTCTTCTCCTGTACAGCTTTATGTGTTACCTCAAAGCTTGGGGTAATCACATTGTGTTTGGTCAGGATATTTTGGAGTTTGAAACTTGATGTTCCCAGGTTCAAATTTCAGGATTTGATTGCTGCTCTTCAGAAATGTAAATAGATATTAGTGGCCTGAACTCCTCCAGACAGTGACTCTGTTTTCAGAAGTAACTGCAGTAATTATTAGAAGCAAATTTTCCCTTTTGCTATGGAGGTCCTTTTGGTTTGGACCCTGATACGTGTTCACATCTTTAAAAATGTTATCTCTGGGGTGCCTGTTTTCCAGTGGAATGCAAACATATGCCAAAAGTTTCTGTGTTTGAAAGGACATAGATGATAGCTGGTTATTTTTTAACAGACATTATTTCTGTAGGTTTAGTTGAATCTTTGACAGTCTATCAAGTGCTCATGTATGACAATGTTCGTACATATTATATTTAAAGGGCTTTTCATATTTCCAAAAGAGAGAATGTTTTCTGGGGAAAAGGAAGTGTGACAGAATGCAACCATATATAGACACAGAGAAATGGGTTGGACACCAGACTTCGCTACCCGTCATTTCTTTAACAAAATGTTTGTAATTAAACCATGATATATCACAAATTTATACAGTGCGTATTACCTTCATTCTTATCTTTAAAGCCCATGAAGTGCTGCTTCTAGTACAAGGACTCCATCTGACAGGCAGCATAGGACCAATAGCCTTCACTGTTCTTAGCACATGGCCAACTTTTGGAAGATCATGAGCCAGAAAACTGCAGTGGTACCACTGTGAAACCACGTGTTGCATTTCTTGCTGCTTAACTGTGACTACACGGCTCAAGGAAAGGAGTTTTCCTTCAGGTAGTAGTGCAGTTATACTTAGGGGTCTTCAGATGGACTCTGTCTTCAGATAGGTTTAACTTTTCTCACCTGACAGAGAACTATAAGGCTTAAGTCACAAAACCGTATCTGATTTGAAAAGAGGATCTATTTGTCAGCTGGTTTTGCCCTGCGTATTGAGCATTTTGTTCTCACTCTAACTTAAAGAAGGAGCTCTATGTGCTAGGGCCTACACGCATGTCATTTACATTTGTTCTAAAGCCTTTGGATCAATTCCAGTGACATTTGGTTCCTCTTAGCTCTCTATCCAAGTGCATAGACTGTCTTTCAGGGGAATGATGATCAGGGCACCTGCCACAAAGGCATTATCTCTACAACAAGAAGAAGTTTATGTGAAAAGAACTGTATACACCTGCACTCTGAGAAGGAAAGAAGAAAACTTATTTGTAATGATAGTACAATTTTGCTTCTTTCATTACTCTCTCTACTACGGCAGTGCAAGCCAGATCAATCCAATAGTCAATGTAGGCTAACTCGTGCGGAAATCTTAATATATAATTCGTACATTTGTTCTTTTGTCCCGTTTCTCATCTTTTCTCTTCAACAGTGGTTTACACAGATTTAGAAACAAAAAGTTTGATTTGAACAGGCCAGTCAGCAAAACCACTTCTCTCACACACAGCAAAGTCCTTTTCTGTCTCTTGCTCTGATACGTGAACAGATCCACACTGTTTAATGGGGGTTTTTGAGGGGTTGGGGGGGGCTGTTTATTTTTTTGTTTGTTGCTTTTGATTGTTTTGTTTTTTCTGGGATGCTGTATCAAATATTTAAATCAAATTTGCTTGGACAGACATGTAGATGTTTTCTGTTATGTATTCTGAAGAAAGTTCCTTTCCTGTTCTCTTTGTTTCTCGGACCACTTGGATCTCGTGTTATGATAAATACATGCTCATCAGGATGGAACCAGTAGTCCTCTGTCCCTAAAGAGCTGTAGACATCAGGATGTTCTGATATCAGTGTGGGACATGGGGCGAGTAGTTTTATGAGGACAGATTCCTGCACATACCAGCCAATGATACAAAAAGGTTTGAATAGAAGGTTTTAAGTATGGTATGGACGAGGAAAGAAGGTGGTCTTGGAGTCAGAGCACCATTACCAATCTATTATGCATTGAGCCAATGATTTCCTAAGGATGACTTGCAGGTTACTGGTGGTCCACAGATCACCTTTATAACCAGACCTCTTTTAAAGCATAGTTGGTTAGCTACACTTTGATAATAAGGGTATGTGATGCAGTAGGAGAAGAGTTGAGGTTGCCTGTGGTCCATGGCCCAGCAGATTCAGGGAGTCACTGCACTGCATTGCACTGCATTAAGTCACAGTGTGTTTTGTATAGGTTTCCAAACGGGAAACCATCTTTTCCCAGAATACTGATCTCAGCATGCATGAAACTCACCTTCCACTGGCAGAGTTTTTCAGATCAGTTAGTAGAAGCTTGTGTTTGCAGGGCTTGTGATTCTAAGCTCAGTACCTTTTGGAAATATGAGGTAGGCAAACTCGGTTGTCTAACATCAGGCAAGACCCTGTCTGGAGTTCAGTGTATCCCACATGGAATCTAGTTGCCAGTATAAAGTGCAGAGGTCTTCCTTAGGCCCCTGGTGTATCTGCCAGGTGTGCATAGGTATCTCAACAAGTTTCTATGGTACTGAAATGTTTCTCTTTAGAAAAAGAATAATGCCCTTGGTTGCAGTGAAGACCATTTAAGTAGTCTGTAAAATTAAAGCACACAGGAAGATTTCTGGCCTGAATTGGCAATTGCCTAAATTTCTTGCCTAAATTCAGTTTCTGATCATCATATTCGTTAACAATTTTCTGCAGGGATGGAAAGTTATTATCTGTGTATATATCTAAACTATTCCTTTACATCTCTGGGAAAAACAGAGGTATCAGGTTGACTGCTTTCACCAGAGAGTAAGCTAAATGATTTACCTTTCCTTTAGGACTCTTCTGATTAGCAGGGTACATGAAGATCCCACCATACATCAATGTACGGTGAACATCAGCTACCATGGAGCCCACGTACCTGGCACCATATGGGGAACTGCCATCCTGAAAAACATAGAGTAAAGCATTATATCTACCAGTCTAGACAGCTAGTAGCAGAGCACAATGTAATTTTGTTACAAAAAAAAAAGGAATCAAAGCTGCTTAAATTAATGGCTGCTTAGGGACACTGTAATTGTCTGAAACCAGCTAAAACTTAGCCTTTTGTAAGACGCAGTGATCATCTATGGGGTTCTAAAATAGGCACTTTAAAGAGCTGCATTTACAGTACAGAAACCAGGGTGCCTGTAATTTGTTTGCACAATTTGGTATCAGCCCTCAGCCTGTGAAAAAGCAACGGCTGTAATGAGTGAGTGAAAGCTTCTTCGTATTATCAGAACAAGGTACCCATTTAATTGCTGATCCTTCACTAGTTCCTAAGCCAGAGCATCAGGAGGGATGTCACTTTTCACTACATGTCCAAATGGTTCCCAGAGGACTCCAGCTTTTTCCTTCTAACTTATTTGTCAAGTTGTGAAATCGGACATAGCATTCATTCTGCAGCTTAGTTTGGGAGACAGCAATTTATTAATGAATGTAGTTTTCCTTGCTCTCAGCTTAGAAATTAACATTGTGGAAGGAAAGGACACTTTAGTGAGAGCAATCAGGGAAGTATTCGTATCAGCCTCAGGTTTGCTGGTCATAAAAGTGGTATGGTAGGAAATATAGAATACAAGCAAGGTGTCTTGCACAAATAGAATTTATATACACCAAATAAGCTCAATCTGAGAAAAGTGACAAGTCATATTTTTATGAAGGGGAGATACACAATACAAAGGGAAACTGAAACTTTTTGAAAGCTGCTATGCCAAGAAGTCTGTTGGTCTTCTGGTGTCTCTCATTCTGTCTTCAATGAAGCAGAGGAGGAATTTGCGGCTCCCCAGAAAATTACTGGAGACTGGGAATTCATGCACAATTAATACACATACATATTTGTGTATTGCAATGCTAGAAGTTTGAAAAGACCTCTGCATGTTTTTTCTGTCTGGATCAGTTGTCTAATAAAAGATCTTAGCGCTTACTACAAAGCTTGCCTTGTGCTGATACTAGATCCAGAGAAATATATAGAGAACTTGTTCAGCAATGCCAGGTCCAAGACATTCAGACATCACAAGTTAGTCACCCTTCCTAGCAAAATCATGAGGTCAGGTGGGACAAAAATATCCACAAGTGGGAAGAAAAAACACAGACAGAGAAAAACATCATGTTATTTTGAAATAAAAATTTCAAACTGTTCTATGCAACTGTGAAGTTTTGATATTTACTCTCTTTTAAAATGGGAAGAGATTCTCATGAAATCACACAGTATAATGCAACATGGCACAAGTTAAGTCTAAGCCACTAAATATAAGACTTGGATATTTGATACAGCTGGTAGTAAAATTGGAACAGAGAACTGTTCCAGTCTGGGTAACAACCCTTGTTCAACTGCACTTACGCTGTTTCCCATGATTGTTTCTTCTTGTACATGTTAGGAGAACTGTTGAAAATTCAGAGGATAACAATACAAAGTGTGAAAAATATGATGGATAAAACACAGCCTGGAGCTTTTATATTTAGATTTGTTTAAATCTGGCCCTACTACTTCCAGGCACAACTGAAAAATACTTCTAAGTATTTGATCCCTTATTTTTCATGGCTTACCCTCAAATAATTACTTATTTAGACTTCAAATGACAGCTTCTCCATCTCATAGCTGTTTGCATTTTTGACTTTGCAACTGCAAAAATCTGAGGTCAGAAAGAAACACCTTGAGAGCTGTTAAAGAGAGACCAAAGCAAGTTTGCAATTTAAGAAAAGACAATTTTCAGGGAAGGATGTGTTTACAACCTAAAATTACCTTTAAAAATACAATCAAAGGAAGAGCTCTCTTTTATGGTTTCAGAAGCTAATGAAGCAAGTCTCAAGAAAAGTTTGTAAATGTTAAGAAAAGTCTTAGAGTATCAACCATAAGCAGGCCCTGGAAAAGGCTGCTAAGAACTGCTTCTATGACATTATCAAATAAGGATTCTGCAACACACATGTATAAAACTTACTGACCATGAGTTGCACAGCTGAGCCACTCATGTACAAGTCACCAGATATGTTTGGGATGTGCTGGATTTCCTATTCATGTGCAGCTTATTTACACAATTTGTGTGTACATGGACGGTGTTATGTGAAGCTGATAAGATGCCACTGACAATTTTAGTTACTTCTTACCCTGATAGAAATTCAACTGCTAGAAATACAGTGCTGAGATAGTGCTGAGAAAAATGCAGAAGAGAAATTCCTCCATTCTGGTACGGTTATCACCTGAACCACCGACTGAAATAAAATTTTCACTTCCCTTAGTGTCCAGCTACCTCCATGGGTGGAATGAATGGTCCTTTGAGTTACTAGAAACGTTACTTCTTGTTTCTCTAGTTCAGTCACTCATGATTTTTCTGACAGATAAGAAAGTTAATAGGTGTTGCATGTGTGTTGGCATATCTCTCAGACTTCCATCTCAAACAAAGTAACAGAGTATGAATGGTAGGGAGATTCATCCCAAGTTCTGAGTAATGCCAAGCTGTGTGTTTGCTCAGTGAGCACTTCGCACTGCTTTGGCTGATGCTAGTGAAAGAGTTGGAGAATGCTGATGTTCCTTTGGTCAGCATCCATGGCGTTTGGGTAAACTTGTGATTGCTCTTAGTTTCACCTTTTCCAATGCATTTTTTTGCTTAACACAGAGGAACAAAAATGGCTCATAGCAGATAGGTCCTGTGATTTTTTTCTTCACAATATGATGGATGTCACTTTTTCACTTCTTTATTCTACTGATTTCTGATAGTTATATTCCTCCACAGCGGAAGACGACCATGTTTTTCTTGCATAACCATGATGACTAAAAATGTAGGATGAAAAAAGTCTTTAGAAAAGAGTACAGCAGCAACACCCTGCATCCCTCACTCCACATGCAGATACAGTGACAAAAGCACAGTGTTTTTATTAGCATTTTTATGTTGCTTAGGCACAGCTGGGCTGACTGGCAGAAGAATGCTTCATGCTGAAATGTGTTGTTGATGATAAGTTTTTGATGGCATTGCTAAGACAAATCCTTGACCAGGGAGCCTCCATTGCATGGCTCTAATCAACAATGTGTGATGAGACTCCTCTTATGGCTGTAGGAAGAGAAGATAAAAATGGACAGAGTGACGAGGTATGACAATGCCCACAGCGTGTTTCTGAGTTCTACAGTCAGCGAACCAGTGCCAGCTAGAGGTTAGGCAAAGCAGTTAGAGTGAAATTTGTGAAGAAATAGTTTCTGGCCCAACAGGCCCCATTACACAGTGCAGACTGTAGTAAAGTGTTGCATTACAGGCAGCCTTGCAAACAGCAGTTTCCTCTTCAAGCTGGTTAAGCAGCAGGAGATTTTGTGATGATTAACAAAAAAATCGGCTTTACTCTAGATTCTCATTCCAGAAGAGATGTGTCTAGACAAATATTTCCCACTAAGATCTGCATGAGAATGGTAGGTTTACAGCTGACCTGCAGAACAGCATCACTTTTCCAGTGCTTTTAAGTCAGAATTGATGCCTTAGGCGTAAGGTGGTCAGTAAGAATTACATTGAGGGTCAACGTGGCTTTGTAGTCCAGACTGTCTGATCTGGGACATTGTTGTTAGACAGTAAGGGAATATCTCTCCTCTCCACATAAATGGTTGATTTGTAATATCTGGTTGCCAATGACAGTAATACAGAACATGGGGCATGTTGTGGATAACTTTTCTGGTTTTATTTTAACTTATCATTTTTCTGTGGCAAGTTAGAGAGTCATCTGAACAGCATGTTTACCAAGAACCACAGGAAGGAGGAAATAGAGGTAGGATCAAAGGAAAAAAAGGGATAAGAAAGTGACAAGTAGCTGAAATTAGTGCCTAGTCTCTTGGCTTCTGATGGCCAGAAGGCCACAGGGTAAGAGTGGTCTGCCTGAGTAAGAGAGGGTCCCCCATGCCCCCATGCCCTACACATCAGCTCCTCCTCAAGTCACAGGCAGGGGGTACCCAGCAGGTACCCACTCCACCCCAGCCCCCCGCCATTGCCCTTCTTCGTGCGGAAGAGGGGAAGACAAAGACCAAACCTGTGCAGTGCTCCATCTGGACACTGTAGGGAAGGCAGGATCATCACCAGTGTAGCTGTAGCTGCTGAGACTTACAAATGATGCCAGGAAGCAGGTTTCATGCTATGAAAAAGTGGCAACACCTTTTCTCTCTTGTCCTCCCACAATGCAAATACAATGTCCTTTTTAAATCAAGGAGCTGAGTTATGCTGTTTTGAAAACTCAGGTTCATAACAAGCTTTCAGATGGGCAGGACACTTCCTTGTGCTTTGTGGCTGTAACATTGGTGCCTTGGTGCTTATGCAGACAACTCTATGTCTCAGAGCAGCAAAGCTATGTGCCTGCTCAGCACCCTTGAGGAGGTTTCACCTGCCCCAAATAAGCCATGCACTACTGTGCTGTTTGCCTTAAAGTAACAAAAACACCTTCTGCCAACTTCTGTGGCATTAGTGCAACAACACTTTCAATAGGTTTTCCTCAAATGAAGCACAGATTTGAGATAAAATAGTGTTTGCAAATGGTTTTTTTTCCTGTATGTCCTAATCTAAGGATTTAGCAAATCACATGATAGAGCTATCCCCACTGAATCTGTGGTGAAATATTTCTATCTGCTCTTCCCACTGAGTTTGAAATCTCTTGTCTCTATAGCTGTTTGGGGTTGACTATTTGCTTAAGAGTTTTACTTTAAACAACACTTGGGTGGTTTGCAAAACCGCAAATTAACAAATCCAGTGTTAGTGCATTATACTGAAAACATAGCTCAGCATAACATGAGCAGAATGATAAGGACAGACTTCTTTCTCTTTCCCAGCTGGATTAGTTTTCAGGAAGCATGAAATTTCTGTGGTGGTCTTCTGCTTCTCTCACAGCGGGACTGAAAGCAGACTTTGAAGTTTCAAAAGAACCTCAAATATTCAAAATTAATATCTTTAAAATGCTGTGATGTGACACCCTCTGTAGCTACAATCTGGATAATATGGAAAAGAGGTTTTGATAAGAGGTCAGCATTGCAGCTATATCCAATGTAGTAAATTCAGATTTGCAGCTTAGAAGGAGCTTCTCATATGACGGTTTTTTAAACTCTTACTTGCTACGTTTCCCTTGTACAGCACCCTGAAGTTTTCTGCTGGGTACACTGATTTTTACATAAGCCCTGTATAAGCATTAACGACAACTAATAGCTTAAAAAATAATCCTATGGCTTTTGGCTTTTTTTTTTTTTTTTTTTTTAAACAGGAAGAGCATTAAAACTGGATTCCTGGCCAAATTCAGTCCTGAGCTATTGCACATCACCATATTTCATTATGACTTACTATTCACAGTCACACTTTCTAGAGATCTTCCAGCTTTCCACATTGAGAGTTTGTATTGTGTCCCCCTAGCATTGACTAGAGGCCATTCAGAGCTCTATGTCCCGACAAGGAAGTTCATCAGACACAGGATGTTCTCGGCTTTATCTCTCTGAGGAATACAGTATAATCCTCTTGAATATAGTGAAATTGTGCCTCACAATGTTTTTATTTGCCTTTATTTTTCTCAATCTGTGGGTTGGTTTGTGCTCCATATGATGCAAGTACACAGTGCAAGAGTGATACTGCATTTCTCAGATGTAATCATGTACAGGGAGGAGATGTCACCCAAATCCCTGCAAGCACCTTCTGGGAAGTATGTGGAATCCAGCCCCAAATGCCCAGATGCACATATGACTGAGCTGCATATTCAGATAAGCTAGTAAACAAGGGTACCCCTACATTTTGCTGGTAGAGTTTCAGAGCTTTTTTGAAAAAGTTGTGCATGAAGATGCACAGCATATTTTCCTCCGCACAGTGGAGGAACCTTACTTACCGAGCTCTAGGATATAAAAGATGAAAGGGCATCAGAAAAAAACACATCAAATAAATACCCAAAATAGACCTGATGGCATGAAAGAGTTACATGGGGCTGAACTTAGCAAGGCCTTCAAACCCTTTCCCATTGGCCAGGACTTTGTGGAATGCAGCGCTTGCCAGCAGGAGGTGCATTGGGTACAGTGCTAATATTTTCTTACCTCAGGGAATTTCTTCTTTTGTAAATATTCTGTCATTGCAGGATCAAAATACTTCGCATAACCTTCATTGAGACTGTATACCTTCCCTTTCTTCTTGATTTTAACATCTCTGTCCACCAAAATAAATTCACCAAGACCCTACAGAAGAACAGGATAGACGAGCTATTAGCAAGCATCAGAAAATTCTGTTGACTTTCTGTTACAGTTATCACACTAGAGATGGCAGAAACACTAGCACAGCTTGGTCCTTTCAGCTCCAGTCTTGTGTATAGCTTCACACTACTTCAAACAGAGCAGAAAGCACCACATCTACATTAAGTTCATCAGGACTTGCCACATTGGTACTGTAAACAGAAAGCAATTCTACTCTAATAGTTAACATATCAAAAGAACACCAGTCAGCCCTGAAAGCAGATGGATCATGAATCTCTGACCACAAACCATAAGGTTACAAACTAAGAAACTACACTGCCTTCTGATTTTTGAACTCTTCTTGCCTGTCTTGTCTAAGTGTCTTAAAGTGAATGTTGCCAGCTACCCCCAGGTGTTACTGCCTGCCATTTGAGTGCAACTTTCACCTTCAATTCCTCTATCTCTAGCCAGAGCAGTTTATCTCCCTGTTCTTCCAGCTTGGAATGAGCCTATTTATAAAGGTTAAAAGGAGTTTTGACCATAACGAATCCTTTTGTCAAAAAAACCTCCTATGTTATTGCCCACATCTAATGCTGGTTTCTCAAGTGAGTGGTCTCATTCCTGCATTCCTCCAGTAATATCTTAGGCCTTGGTTGCAATACCTCTGTCTGCTTTTTCTACTCAGTGAAAGAGAGTTTAATTTAAATAGCATTTGAAATCCTGTTCGCTCAAGCCAGACCGCTGGTTTGCACAAACACTTAAGAAAATTTACTCTGAACAGTGTCTTTGCCTCAATTTAAAGGACTCCTGCTTTTTTCTTGTTCTTGCTTTTTCTCTCTGTGGAAGAACTTCATTGAACATACTCGTGTATTATTAAACACTTGTAAGGTGGAGGTGGGATGTTCCAGGACACAGTCGAGAAAAAGAATTGTGTAGCTTGCCTAGATTACAGAGACAAAGAGTAACAAAAATGGGTAAACCCAAGCATGGAAAGCTTTAAAACACAGTGTCAATGTGATTAACACCATGACTGTACCGGATCAAGCATGAAGCAGTCCACTCCTTGCCCTGTGGAGAGGGCAACCAGTGTAGCACTGCCATACAAGGCATAGCCTGCAGCAACAATATTGCGTCCGGGCTGTAAAGCATCTTTTTCAGAGGGCTCATCGTCTGTTTCCTGAGGAAAAAGTACCATTGGACTGAAGGTTAAATTCTTATGGGAACAATAAAAACAACACTTTAATAATAATGCGGTGCAGATTTCCTTTTTGTGTCTACACATGCCTTTGAAATAAGCAAAATAGAGCTTGTTCCCACTAGTTCAGGACAAGTTTGGTGCAAGTATGTGTGAACACTGGGACAGGATGTTGCGAGTTTTTTATTTTGTATGCATCATGCAAACAATACGATACCTACAACAAAGCTGATACCTTAGCATTACAGCCCGGTGTATTAACTCAAGATCATCAGAAATCTGAGACAAAACAGAGGTACTAACTTTCTGTAAATGTAAACATTAACTGTCATACTGACACTCCTCAGAAGGAGTAGCTGCGCGGTGAACACGATGATTAGCATTACAGACAAATTTCTTCCAGTAATGCAGAATAAAAGGGTAGATGGTGCAACATGATGTAACCAAGATTGTGCATTGGTCTCTGCTCGTGGAGAGATGGGCAACTGAAGTGATAGAAATGTTCATATTATATAGGAAATAACAAATGCATTTGCATATGTAATGTGTGTGTGTGTGCAGGTATGCATATATAACTCTACATAGAATATTCACATGACATTTTACTTCGGGATTTTAATCAATTTCCAACACTTGCATTTTGGTTTTGCACTTTGGTTATCACTGAACAACCACAACCCAAGCAGATCTGGTGCAAATATTTCCAGTCAGCTCTGGCTGTGTGCCTCAGCCACGGCTTACAAGAGTTTGACTGTAGGGGTAAGGAAAGAGAACCACTGCCTGGGACTATGAAATGGGAAGGGAATGCTTGGTATTAATGTTTCTTTAAAAGCTTGTCAGTTGTGGTGGGTCTTCTGTGGATGCTTTGATGGTGGTTCACAAGAAATTAAAGTGAGATCCTTTCTTCAGGCCCTGGTTTAGCATTATATTGTTTGTTTGGATGTTATTGCCATGGTTTAAACCCAGCCAGCAACTAAGCACCAGGCAGCCTCTCGCCAGCTCCCCACCACCATGGGATGGGGAAAACAGGCAGAATGGTAAAAGTGACACGACCCATGGATTGAGATAAAGACAGTTTAACAGGTAAAGCAAAACTCCCATGCACAAGCAAAACAAAACAAGGAATTCGTTCAGCACTTCCCATCGGCAGGCAGGTGTTCAGCCATCCCCAGGACAACGGGGGTCCATGCATAATGTAAGTACAGAAGTAACAGTTACTTGGGAAGACAAACACCATCACTCCCACTTCCTTCTTCTGCCCCCCCCTTTTTTTCCCCCCCCCCCCCCCCCGGTTTGTTTCTGAGCATGACATCATGTGGTATGCGATATCTCTTGGTCAGTTGGACTCAGCTATCCTGGCTGTGTCCCCTCCCAACTCTTGCCCACACCCAGCCCACTCACTGGCAGGGCGATGTAAGAAGCAGAAAAGGCCCTGACACTGTGCAAGCACTGCTCAGCAGTAACAAAAGCATCCCCGTGTTATCAACAGTGCCTTCAGCACAAATCCAAAACATAGCCCCATGCTAGCTACTGTGAAGAAAACTAATTCTACCCCAGCCAAAACCAGCACACACAAACTCAGACAATTTCTCAGTGACTGCATGGGCCTAATTAGATTGAATAGCAGCTAAATAGAAATAGCAGGTCTAGCCCAAAATATCTGGTTAAAAAAAAAAAATAAATCAGTGGAGACTGTTTAGTGTAGGAAACAAAATATTTGATGAATATTGAGTAAATTCTTTAAAAAATCAAGACTGCCTTCCACAGATATTTTCCAAAGGAGAACACCTCTCCTCCAGCAAATGGAGAAATTCTCTGCTGTGCCCCATGGAAAAGAGCTCTCAGGGTGCCCATCAAAGTCCTACCAAGGTGGAAGGCTAAGGGTAACCTGGGGATTGTGTTCACCTTTTGTATGCCAACGTCTAGAGGAAATCTGAGATGTGGGACATCAAAACTACATCTTTCTTGGCATATGAAGACAGTAATTCCACATCTAAATATTTTCATTTTCAGCTGAAAGATTTTGTTTCTTTTGTTACTTTACAGTTTTTAGCTGCATTTTGCTAAAAACTTTTAATTATTGTTATTATTTTGCCAAGTTCTTCTGGGGGAGAAAAAATTAGTTCAGATTGTTTGCAACACTAAATGAAGAATTACACATACATTTACACAAATAGTTGCAAACTTATTATGATTTTCCTAGATTTTTGTATGCTTTCCTCATTAAATAAGAATTAATTTTGGATAAACACAGTAAAGAGGTTCATTTTCTAGAGTATGGTGTATATACAGTGTATGTGGCTGCTGGTTACACATCATATCGATTTAAAACGTATTTTTCTGAGATGAGTTTTTCAGTCCCATCTCTTAAATGCATTTTCTATGTTTATATGGCTGAGAAACCACATATTTGTTGACTATTCTGAACAAACAGACAAACTCTCCCTTGGGAGATGGATAGTTGGGCAGAAATCACTTTTTTTTCCATCATTATTCACAACTGTGTTTTGGAAGGAAAAGAGCTCAATCTCAAACAAACATTTTGCAAAGCTTGTCAGAATGTAAAAAATCTAGAGATCAGCTGATATCTCACTGTTAGGACTGCAGGAGTTTTGTCCTGCCAAGTACCATGTACTGTGAGACAAACCATGGAATTAAGCTGGCCAGTCATCTCTGATAGCTGCTGAATATTTTCACTTCTTTCTGATACACAGATGGGTTTCCTTTCCATTATATTTTGACTATGAGATGCTGGTAGTGAAAACTCTTTAGGTGTCTTTATGCAAAGCACTGCAATAGGCAGAGGGACTGCAGAGAAGCTCCAACAAGTGTTGACACAGTCACTTTGGCTTGATGTTGGTGTGAAGCAGATGAAACAAGGTCTGTAGATTCTGGCTATAAGGGTACCCTCAGGTGATATCTGAGTTTGAAAATTTTTGCATGTATGATTTTCCCACATCAAATAGGGGAGTTCTCATCAGCACTGGGAGCAGCTCTGGACAGACTTGATTTCCCAGTCTCCATTTGTATCCCATGTTTCACGAGTGTCTTTTGAGTTTGCCCTGAATTCTTACACCTTCTCTGTGAGGGCCTACATGGAGGGGAGGACATTGTCTTGATGACAATGAAAAGGAGGGAAATAAAATATATCTGAGGCACTGGGCAAACTTACAAATTAAACCAGAATGAAACAAACCAGCAATATGAATTGAGAACAGTAGGTTCAGCTTAGTGGCATGAAAAATTGGGAAGAATCCAAGCAAAAAAATACTTTTTATCACCACATCCTGACACTCCAGCAGCTGCGAGCCCCTCAGCAGCAGTGATTGCCAAGGTTCTGTCCCCTGCTCTGGCTCCTGCTGATTCAGCAATGTTGCTCCGTCAGCCCCACTGTTCTGATGTTCCTGGTCTTTTTAACAATACCACCTATGCTTCACAAAGTAAAAGCCAGGTGGAAAATTAAATAAACTTCAGATGGTGTTTGTTTCCCTGTGTTTTTCTCTAAGAAACTGATGCAGTGCTTTTCTGGCAGGAGGCAGCAGTACCTGCCACCATGGTGGTGGTTCTCAATGGGGAGCAGCCAGAGAACCATTTTCAGATTTGAAATTAAATGGATTGGCCAAGTCTGGCTTTTGTAGAAAAGTCCTGATTTATCTTTTTATGAGACAAATTTTTCAGTTCTAGAGGGTGTGTGTGCCTTTGGAAATTAAGATGCTGACATGGTGAGAAAATCAGTCATGCAATCATCTGAGAATCGGAAGGTAACAAATATCAGACAGGTGCTAAAGTTCATCCTTTGGAATTACAATTGTTCTAGGTTTTCCAGAATTATGTTAATGAACCTTAAATTGCTTGAAATTATGATTTGTTTCTTAAGTGATTCTTATCCACTGGGATAAACACCTCACTTTCATTACTTTCACACTACCCTTCAGTAACAACAATAAAGCATTTATTATTATTTTATTATTTCAAAGAGTTTGGCGTTAATAATGTTTAAGGTTAATAGTGTTGCTGTGAAATTGTCTTGTCTGAGAGGAAGGTGCATTAATTAACATGTACTTTAGAATTAGCATTTTAATGGAAAGAATTATGCGAGTGAAAGTCTGGAAATTCAAAATTGTTTCTAATTTCCCAGGGAAAACTGATGGTTGTATTTGTAATTGACAAACTGTGCTTCATCCTAGCAGCAAGGCTTTCATTTGGATATGAAGCATCTGTACAAAGCAATGCAATTTTCTTTTTATGAAGCACTGAAGGGTATCCACACATGTGAAAACCAGTAACTCAGAAACAGTATTTACAATAAATATGTTAATGTATGTTAGAACAAAAACAACTATGGAAGGATCAGAAAATAAATTGAAACCACATTGAGCATTTGGGAAAGACATGAGTTCTTTGGGAAATGTTTCTACTCTGCAGCAGAATCCTAGGGAAGACTACACATTCCATAGTCTTTACAGACATTAACAGCTAAGTTAAAGATGGGCATTTCAACCTGCTAAGCTGTATTAATTACACTGAGCACTTGCCTTTATAGCTAAGCAGAGTAACTTAACACAACACTTCTAAAGAGAAAGCTAATGTTTGGTATTTGTAAGGTGGTGCTTACCACCTTTAAGAATAGTGAACAATGCACCTATTGCCTACTGTAAATGTTGGGAGGTCCTGTAGTCTTTTAGGCTATCTTTAGAGAGATAAATTAAAAGGGTGGAGGACCCTTTGCTTACCGTAAGGGCAGGTGGCACGGATTGCATCCAAACAGCTAAGCTCTCTTCCCTGCAAAAAGCAAGGTGGTAGATGGAACTGGAGGTAGTCCCTGGGCTGCTCTTTCCACAAGACATACCCAGGTATCATTTCAGTGTTGTCTGACCTGGGCTGCATCTGCGATGGGGGTTTGCACTAACCATTGACAGTGTGGACAGCCGTATGGCAGCACTTGGCTTGTGCCATGGCCCTGTTGAGATTGTACTGTAACTAGTTGGTTTACTAGTAGATGAATATTCTTAACAGTGATGATTAATGTATTGCCTACCAGAAATGTATAAAATGTGGACTAGCCAGTTGAGAATTATGAGTTAAAACCTGAAAGCGGATTTTAAAAAGTATCTTTGTGTGTTTGAAGTGTAGTGTCTGAGTCTGCAAAAACTTTTCTTCAGTCACAAGTATTGTAACCACTACTTCACAATAGTAATGGCTGAGGGTCTCCCATAGTCATATGACTGTGAGCTCAGGCTTTAGGAAAAACACCAACTGCTGGGAGATTAGCAATCAAATCACAAGACTTGGCATGACTCTAACTATTAATGTTTGTTAATTGGCTGCGCAGTTGCTGTTCTGTGCAGCCCCGTGGGAGCAGACATGCTGGCAGGCCCCAAGTGGCTGTAGATGACTGCTTCCTTCAGCCTCAGGTGGCCTCCATCCTTAGCATGCTTGTGAACTCCCATTCGTAACAGGCTTGGCAACTCGCAGCAGGAGGCCTCCACTTTGCTAACCGTGATACAGTCCATGCAGTGACTGTCAGCCTTCCCCAGTCACTGTCCAGGAAGACAAATACTGTGATTTGTAGGCGCCATGACACCCCTCATCTCTCCTGCAGTGACTAAAGCAACACTGAAGGAGCTAACCAGCTGCTTGATGGCAAGAGGGTTTTGTTTAAGCACCTGTATGTCTGGAAGAGGGAAGTGCTGCCACTAACAATTTCATGGGGCTGAGTGTCCTCTTCCTGGGAATTCAGGCAGCATTTTAACATACGTGAATCTCAAGTGCTACCTTTTCTACTCTTTCTAAGGTTCTGTTGATCTCAAAGACACTTACAGGACCTAGGAAAGAAACTAAGCTAGTTGATATACCCAAGAAATTTTGCTCTCACCACCCTGTGTGCTTTGTTCATCCTCTTACCTTTTTGTAGATAGCAAATATTGTTCCTATTGGTGCCAAGCAGTCTATATTGGATGAGCCATCAAGGGGGTCAAAGCACACCACATATTTACCCTAAAACAGAAATGGCAAAGGAAGCACTAAATGATATGCAGTCTTGCACTGTTTCTCCTTTTACCTGACAAAACTCATGTTTCTAGGACTGTGTTTAGCCCTCCAAGCACGCCTGACACGGTTTGTCAGAGAAGGCTAAGCCGTCTGGCCCTGCAAAACAACACCCACTCCCTGCAGGGCCTGACAGAGAAATACGAGAGGGCACATCTCTGCTCAGACAGCACAAAATCTGATGATAGAAGGGAGCAGTCCTCTGCTGCCAAGCAATGCAAGAAATCACTTGAAAGCAAAAGGAGCGACCCGTTCTGGAAACAAGCATCTTCCTCAAGTAAATGTTTTGTTTTATTACATTTTATTCCAAATGAAAGGATTTGCCTGTGATGTGAGGTTTGAGGGTAAGAAGGCAGAAAGAAAACATCTTGGGGATAGGGCAGGTTATGTTAGCATGAGCAGTATCTCACTGCAACAGGATCCCCTCCTGGGGGAAGCCTGATGAAGCAGTCAGGTGTTTCCTCTGGACATGTAACATAAAACCCAGTTCTGCCAGCCTCTCATCTCATATTATCTTGCCTAAATATTAACGTAATTCAAACCCATTACATCAGTGGTCAGAGAATGTAATAGTACACTTACACTTGGGATCTGGTGTTTGTTAACAAGCTCCAAAAAAATTGTTCTTCCCCCTTCACAAAACTTTAATAATAGTTTTACCCTCCACAGCTCCTTTAGCTGTTGAAAGCATGCCATCCACCGCAATTGTTAATCAAAACAATGCAGTAATGGTGCAAATTTTCTAAATTCCCCCAGGAAGGGTTTGGTTTGGCTCCAAGCCCAGGTTTCATACTTGAAACAAGAGTGCCACCTGCTGCTGCCTCAGCCGATGACCCCCCTGAAGGCAGGAGCTACACAGACCTGCTTGTCTTTCGGGGTGACGATGGCCTCCTTGTTCTCCTCCGTGACCAGGACGCAGGTGCTGTAGGAGGACTGGAGCATGTTAATCACCAGGGAGTTGGATAATACATCCAGCTTCTTCACTTCATCACCAGTCACGTTCACAGTGCCAGCTATACCAAACCTACAGAAAAGTAAAAATATCAAGAAAACTGAGGGAGTCCAATGTCACAGGGTTTTAGGAAAAAAACAAGTCAAGATGGCTCCTTCCTGTCATATTCCCACACCTCTAACCTTTGGATTAAATTGCTAAGGTGCATTAGGCTGTGGTTGCAGCTGCTACTAGAAAATAAAAGCAGGCATGAGAAAGCAAAAGGGCAATGGCATCATTTTGGGGCTTCACCTGAGTCTTTTTGCTGCTGCTTGGATGTTCTCCAAGCCAGGAGCAGAGCCCACAGCCCAGCTGGTGGGTGCCAGGCTTCCCTAGCAGCCCCGTGAAGCAGCTGGTCGCAGCTTTGCGGAAGGAGAAGGGGCAGTTAACTTCTGCATTATTTTCTGTCACTGTCTGCTCAGAGCTCTGTGGTGGTCCTTTAACCCACGTCCACTCAGCCACCCCAAAATCAGACACCCCTAGATAATTCCCCATGCTCTACTGTATCTCAGGATCAAGGTCTGTTTTATTTGGTGTTGCTCAGCTGAGCTATGACGATGCTTCCATTCCCTATCCTGATTTTAGCAATATACTAATGATGTAGTATATAGTAGTACACATATTTCTGAGATTTCCAGTTGAGGAAGTACTGTTTAGACCTAATGTGGATGGTCTGGGCACATAGAAGTATAAGGAGTCGTACAGGGAATATATATAGCATGTTTATTCACTATGAAAACAAAAAAGGGAATGGGAAAGGGGCAACTAATTGATCTCTAGGATGTTGGTCATCAGCAGGCCTTAGTTGAGGGGAGGGTAGGTCTTTTGTCTTACTCAAAGCTCAAAGTTGCCTATGCTTTTCAGAAGTATTGAGCATTTTGGGCACTATATTTTGGAGTGCCAAGCTTGAGATACTGGAAAGGATCCATTGTCCAGTTAGTGCGTTTTCAGGCACATTCCATCTCAAGTCTGTGGCTTGGAAAAAGTCCTCCTTTAAATGGCAAATTTGTTAAAAATTCATGCTGAGCTCTTTAACATAAAGAAGTCACTTTACAGTCTACTATTTTGAGGCAGAAGAAAAATCTGTGCTGTCTGACATCACAAATGCAGATAGATGCAAGCCAGTGACTGTGGCTGAAAGTTTGCCTTGGGAATTTCCAAAATTTCACCTTAAGTTCCAGTAATTTGTATGGTGCAAGTTCCTGTTTTTTGTGTTTGGATACGTAGCTATTTCTGGGTCATCACCTGAAGCTTTTGTTTACAGAAAGCGGCATTTGCTTCTTAACATGATAGATGTTTTCTTTCTGAAGGGAAGATTCATCTGGCACAGTAGCCATGTGTGCTGTAGGCTAGGTGGCTATTCCAACTCTAGTCTATCAAATAAGAGTTCGCCCCACTTATTAAATACTTCAGAGGTTGCATATCGAAAGATAAAAGTGAGATAAAAGTAACTGTTCCTCTAAGTCAGGGAGGCAAAACAGCTGAGCTTTGCCTAGCAAGTACAGAGACAAAGTACAGTTACGGCATAGGAGACTGACGCTGCTGTTAAACTTGGAGTATGTCTCATGTCCTCTCTACATATTATGGTCCGTGCCTGTAAAGTGGGGGTGATGATAGTACTGAGACATGGTTTGCAAAGTTCATTGAGGACTTTAACCAAATAGTCAACAGAAGCACAAAAACCCCAGTGTTGCGCACTTTGGTGGTTCCATGGGGAAAAAAAAAAGAAAAAAAAAGAAAAAAAAAAGAACCACTTATATTCCCTGGCTTTTTTATGCATGTATGCATATGTACACACAAAGGCATGCACAGAAACATATCTTTCAATACATGTCAAAACCTGTACAATTTTATTAAGACATTCCAGCTCTCTGAACTGCTTCAGATAGGTCGCCATTAAAAGAATAACACTGATGTCTATTTCACCTGGGTGTGTGAGGAACAGCTCGGTTCATTCTTCCAGGCTTTGCTAAGGCAATTCTTTATTCCATTTGCTAAACCACTAGGTGCCAAATTGTTATGTTTGTTTTTCATATTGGGCTTTTTAAGACTTCCGCACCCCCCCACCCCCCACCCCATAATCTTGATACTGCTTGAGGAAGGAGAAACGCACTCACGCATGGCAGCATATGTCATTTCTCACAGGGCTGCTGCTTTAGACCATTACTTACACTGCAGTCAGGCAGAACATCAGCTTCCCAAGATAAGCCAAGCCTCAATTTGCACAGCTCAGCAATGGGCTTGGATGTGGCAGAAAATATCATGACACAATATTCTGCACTAAAAATGTTGTCATGTGATATTCTGCAAATTCTCAGTAGATTTAAAAATAGATCAATATCAACATTTACAAGGGATAACAAGGTGAGCAGTGCATCGAAGTTCTGACTTACATTTTTAGAGTAACATATTACAGAACAGCAGTTACTTTAAATGTTTATCTTGCACCAAATATTAAAATGCTCCAGAAAGAGAGATCTCCCGCTTCCCACTCTTGATAATCCAGGCTCTAACCTCATGCCTTCAGTCACTCATCTTAAAAAAGACACTTCCAACATACTTAGTAGTCATCCCTGCCCACTCCCCAGCTTTGCCGCGCAAGCAGCTCTCTCTCTCTACCTCCTCTTCCTCCCCATATTGCTAGGTAGGGCAACTCACATGTGGGCAAGGCCTGCCTTTCTGACTGCAGACGAAATGGCCTTTATGGCAGTCAGCATGGAGTTGAGCAGCTGTGTCAGTTCCCCTGTTGCTCCTTTAACACGGCGTCCTTTCTCCATAACGAATCGTGTGAGCGTCAGCATATCCGTTTCAAAGGGGGTTTTGTCAGACATTTTTGCTGGGTACCAGAGTTCCTGCCTTCTCAGCTGGACAAAACGCTTTCTTGCTGTGTTGAGATCCTGGGTAGCTGTTTTATTTTGAGGCGAAGCTGTTGGCTGCGTTGCTGGTCAGAGTTTATTAAGATATTTCTGAGACCATGTGATTGAGTGCCTAGGATAACTGCACTCCAGTCTGGCTCCACAGCGCCTCTAGGATGCAAGGAAGGAGCCTGAGGTGGAACTACATCTGAGCAACCACTGCTCGACTGCCCTCCCCATGCACTGAAATCAGTGATGTGCAGCTCTAACAACATATTCTAATTGTGTGTTAGACTGCTTATAATGCGAAACTCTTGCTGGCCTCTTAGCTGGAAACTGCTTTCCTGTAGCTGCCACTCAGCAACGAGCTCAGCACAGCCAAGGCAAAGCGCACAATTCACAAGGCACCAGGAACGAAGGCAGAGTGCATCAGTAACCACACATGCCATAGTGCCCCACAGCAGAGCACCCATCCGGCTGTGACTTCTGATGGTGGAGTTCTCTTCCTCTATCACCTTAATCCCTGTTTACCCATCCTCTTTTGGCCTTCTCTATAGAGAAAGGTTTTGAAGAGGTGAACGCTATGGGAGCACAGGCATGACTAAGAACACCACATTGGCAAGGCAGTTCAGTGGAACCTGGGTTTCAGCGTTAGCAAGACTGCTATTGTAGAGATGCAGGGGGAAAAACCAGGAGATGCAGGGTGCATGTAAGCATACATTTATTAAAGATATTTTATGTTGCTAGCTGGTCTGATGCAATCTCATTTTAATGACTTCATTCCTAGTCTGGGCTACTTGTAATATTACAGGGCTTGCATGAATGAGAAGTACCGGTGAGCTGTGGCTAGACTGGTTACAAAGCAATTATGTGTTCAATAACCTACAAATGAAGCTTGAAGCTTACCTGATTTAAGTATGTCTGTGTCACAATTCACAAAATTAAATTTTATGTCAGCTTTGACATTGTACTGCACCATGTAAATATAGATTCGCAATTATACTGCCAGTAACCCCCTACAAGCAATACACTTGGTTCACATGATGCTAATGTGAAGGTAGACAGAAATCTCAGTGAACTAGGTACATGCTATCTGGAACATGACAATTACGGATTTTAATTACAATACTATCTTCCCACTGAGATAAGGCAGTAAGAAAAATTATTTGTTGTAGCCTTCATTTTACTTATTAGCAGCATTCTCTCATTTTTAAGCAGAAGATCTGGAAAGCCCACAAGCAAAACAAGAAAACCTGGAGTTAAAGAAGAAGACTTTCGTTGACTTTCATTGTTATAATTCATTTAACCCAAATTACTGCAGTAAAATCATACCAGGAACACAGAACAAAATTCAATAACAAAACATATACCTAGCTTTGCTTTTGTCAATAGGAACTGCAGCTGTAGGCAAAGAGTTTTGATTTCCCTTTGCACATCTTTTTTAATCTTTAGCATTTATTTGGATTTTCCTAAAAGCGTCTCTTCACCTATGAACAATACATTACTTAGAGAGTTGTAAAGGAATTTGAATGCTAAGGCTTTCTACTTTGAAACCAGCCTCAAGCAGAGGCCTTGGAGATTGACAGCACTGAATAGTAGCAACAGGTAGAGAGACACCATTCAGTGCTGCTGACATCCCATATGCTTAGCTTTGGGAATGTTTTTCAAGTCTCATTCTAACACGGAGGAAGGACTGGTGAGCAGAGCTCCTCAGGTGGAGCAACAGGCAGTTTTCACACAATGTCCTGTAAGGCAATGGTGGAAGAAGAAAGTGATCTTGAAGACTTTTTTTTACCGCTGTGATCTAGTTAAAGTATATGATATGATTCACGTCACAGGGTAAATATTCCAGAGCAGTTTTGCCAGGTTAGGAGACCTTCCTTCTTCAAACAAACTTTGTATAAAACCAAAATATAACATATTTAGGGAGCTCTGGGGTAGCACATGGTGCTATTAATAAAAGAAGGGGACAGCTTTCACATTATACACACAAACAGATCTGCTGGCTTAAGGCACAGCCATTACATTCTGCACATTATTTCGTCATCATGGCAGTGGTCAGCCTGACCAGTACTAAAATTCTTTTAAGGCAAAATCTCTCTGCTGTGTTACTAGAATACTATCGGAATACCCTATCAATTTAGCAAATAAGAAATGATGTGGGGGTTAGCCTATGGCTTCTAACATTTGTCAAAACATCACACGCGAATCCTCTTCACTGTTCGTTCCAAGTGATCTTTTATACTGGTCAAAAAGACAAAGTTCAGATCACCTTCCAACAGAAAGTTTGTTTTGGAGTTAGTGGTTCAAAGAGTGTCCTCAGAGCTACAAGGTCCAAGTCCATTATTTGCCTCTTTGTTTTTTCTTTTTTTTTTTTTTCAGACTGAAAAATCCCCAAATGCTTTTTACGAGTAAGAGATACTTTTTAGTATGCATAAAGCAAAATGCTTTAAGGTGCTGCTCAACACCCCTTCAATAAGCACTTAACTTACACTAATATGTAAACAACACAGACTCTACACCCAAACTTTCCAGAAATATTGCAGCCCACAGTGGAGCAAGAAGAGAAATAAAAAAATAGAACTTGGGTAAAGGCACAAGACCTGGTTGCATAAAAACTTTACCCTGTTTAATAAATATTGTGATCCCACTGAGTGATAAAATGCTGAATGATTAAACTGAATTATTACGCTATATAAACTATTTAAGGAGGGGAGAGGGGGAGAGAAATCAAATTGTTTGAAAAGTGTCTGATAACTCTTTATAAGCCTGAGAACTGCTCAGTAAGATGGGTTGGAACAGCATAGAAAGGTTAAAAAAAAAAAACCTCAATTGGACAGACCATGGGAGATTTGCCCTCTAATATAAACGTTACACAAGAGCTATCAGGGTTGATTCACACTTCCACTGGCATATAGGCTAGTCCTGTGCCTTAAAGGTGACACCTTTTCTAACTGATTTGAAATGTTAGTCGCTTGGATGATGCCGGCTGAAATTTGAGCTGGTGACCTTTCACCAAATGCCACAGTTCAGTCTCTGAGTCGGGGGCAGTGGCTAGTACTGCAATAGGGGGCTGAAGGCGGAACTTGTGACAAACCTACCCTCCCACCCCGTGTTCACGAACAGGTTGAGCTCTTGAAAGGGGGCTGTAGAAGGAGATTACTTAATAGTTCTCACTGGTGGCTATGTGGGGTTGCTATTCAAACGTGGGCTTATGTATTACAGATAGAAAGAGAAACACAGCTCACAATGTGAAAAATGCTAACTATAAAATGTCAGCCTACAGGCAAAACTGAAACACTGGAAACTGACCTAGCAAACACAGGGAACATTGCCTTTCCTTCTATAACCTTTACCTGCTGCCAGTATGGTTTTTTAAAAACAGATACATGCAGCCCAGGGATTCCTGAAGAGGTTGAGGGTAGAATACAGCTGAGGAATTACTACTATAACTAGGCAAAAATGGCTGGTGTGGATACCGTCTATTAAGTTGTGCCAACAGATTAGTGAGGCACTGTAGTCCAAATTGATTTACGGAAAGACAGACAAAAAGCTGTAACGCCTTCTTACTATTCTCTGCTTAGTGCATTAAATAAAAAATTGCGTCCAGCTATGGCTCTAGGGACAGGCCGAATTAAAAACTTAACAGTCTTAAAAAGTTGTGCGTTACAACAATCTTGCACTTTCCTCTAGCAGCAGCATCCAGAACATGGGAGAGGTTTAGAGTCCTTCTCAGCATGCTCTCTGCTGTAGCTGATTTAGTCAGCTTGGAGCCCTTTAAAGTGCTGCGGGGCTTGTGTCAGAGCCAGCAAGTAAGGAAATGCTCAGGATAGAAATATGCAATTCCATTGGTAAATGTTTCAGCATGCAAGGTAGCAATCTCCAGCTGCTACTAGTACCTTCACACCTTGTCAAAACAGAGAGATTTGCTGTTTCTTTAGAAATCACAACAAAAGACAAAACAGATGCATAGATTGTGGGTTTTTTTTTTACAAAAGCGAGAGCATGGCCATATCCAAGTGGTCAGCTGCTCACATGAAGAGGCAGAGAAAGCAGCATTGGTCCTAGCACAAGAAACAGCAGCCTGCAAAGAAAAGCCTGGACCACAGGAGTCTCCTAGTGCATGGTTGTCCCATTCACTGTCTGGTCACATGAAGTACTCTCCCACATCATGGCACAGCATTCGCAGGTCAGGGTGATAAACCCACCCTTTGCAGGCTGGCCCCCAGAGTGGCAACAACGGCAGCTTGCTGGGAAATGTGGGTTTGAGCATTCTCCCGGAGGAGAATTAATCAGAAATTAGACAGCACACCACATGGTTACTGCTTGTGGGGTGCCTGATTTTGCAGGTACATATCAGGCAAAGTACGTAAGCTCTAGTCTGCTCTTCCCAGAGCAGAGTTTGGCCTATAGAGGAGTGTGATCCTGTGCAGGGCCAAACTTAGATCCTCACAGCATGAAAACTGAACAAGAGCTCAGGGGAGACTTCCAGGACTGTCCAAATCATTTAAGGGTTCAGGTCCCTGAAAGCCCTGTCTTCACTAACAAAGCCTCATCAGAAACAACACTTTCAGCAGAAACTAGGCCATTCAGTCCCTGCCTTGTCCCTTATCACTTTAGAGAACAGGTGCATACATACACCCATCTAAGGTTTGCCAGTACACCTCCAAATGCCCCAAATGCAACTTGTGTCAGAACAAGAGCCACCAGGTTTTTTGGTGTGTTAGCCCCTGCAGAGCATGCCTTCACACCATGGCCTCTAGGTTTCCCCACACTCTTTTCTTCTTTTTTTACAAGAAAAACAAAGCTCCGACAGACTGTCTGCACTGATATATGCAAAATCTTCAGATAAGCAGGCTTATAGCTCATTGCACCCATAGACAGGGGCTCCCAGACCATGGTATGAGTGAATGTTCAGTGGCAGTCTACCCAACAGCAACATCCGTGTGTCCCTTAGTCTGAGATTGGTGAAAGTAAGTGGGCAGTGAGAAACGTCAAAGATTTTCAGATTTGGACTGATTCAAAAGGCTTGTGAGCCACAGCCA